TACTATTAGTAGTCAAAACAAAATCTTAAGATTCCATTATATGTCGAGTTTATAGGCGTTATCCCATTTCTGGTTGAGGGGACATGAGTAATAATATAGTCAAAAATCTCTTAAAATTAGAAATATTGACCCATAGCATTCATATTCTGCTCTCAAGTTAGAAATGGCATTTACTATCAGTAGTCAAAACAAAATCTTAAGATTCCATTATATGTCGACTTTATAGGCGTTATCCCATTTCTGGTCGAGGGGACATGAGTAATAATATAGTCAAAAATCTCTTAAAATTAGAAATATTGACCCATAGCATTCATATTCTGCTCTCAACTTAGAAATGGCATTTACTATCAGTAGCCAAAAGAAAATCTTAAGATTCCATTATATGTCAAGTATATAGGCGTTATCCCATTTCTGGTCGAGGGGACATGAGTGATAATATAGTCAAAAATCTCTTAAAATTAGAAATATTGACCCATAGCATTCAGGCTTTGCTGACAGGTTGGAAATGGTATTTACTATCAGTAGCTAAAAGAAAATCTTCAGATTCCATTATTTGTCGAGTTTATAGGCGTTATCCCATTTCTGGTTGAGGGGACATGAGTAATAATATAGTCAAAAATCTCTTAAAATTAGAAATATTTACCCATAGCATTCAGGCTTTGCTGACAGGTTTGAAATGGTATTTACTATCAGTAGCTAAAAGAAAATCTTCAGATTCCATTATTTGTTGAGTTTATAGGCGTTATCCCATTTCTGTTCGAGGGGACATCAGTAATAATATAGTCAAAAATCTCTTAAAATTAGAAATATTGACCCATAGCATTCATATTCTGCTCTCAAGTTAGAAATGGTATTTACTATCAGTAGCTAAAAGAAAATCTTCAGATTCCATTATTTGTCGAGTTTATAGGCGTTATCCCATTTCTGGTTGAGGGGACATGAGTAATAATATAGTCAAAAATCTCTTAAAATTAGAAATATTGACCCATAGCATTCATATTCTGCTCTCAAGTTAGAAATGGCATTTACTATTAGTAGTCAAAACAAAATCTTAAGATTCCATTATATGTCGAGTTTATAGGCGTTATCCCATTTCTGGTTGAGGGGACATGAGTAATAATATAGTCAAAAATCTCTTAAAATTAGAAATATTGACCCATAGCATTCATATTCTGCTCTCAAGTTAGAAATGGCATTTACTATCAGTAGTCAAAACAAAATCTTAAGATTCCATTATATGTCGACTTTATAGGCGTTATCCCATTTCTGGTCGAGGGGACATGAGTAATAATATAGTCAAAAATCTCTTAAAATTAGAAATATTGACCCATAGCATTCATATTCTGCTCTCAACTTAGAAATGGCATTTACTATCAGTAGCCAAAAGAAAATCTTAAGATTCCATTATATGTCAAGTATATAGGCGTTATCCCATTTCTGGTCGAGGGGACATGAGTGATAATATAGTCAAAAATCTCTTAAAATTAGAAATATTGACCCATAGCATTCAGGCTTTGCTGACAGGTTGGAAATGGTATTTACTATCAGTAGCTAAAAGAAAATCTTCAGATTCCATTATTTGTCGAGTTTATAGGCGTTATCCCATTTCTGGTTGAGGGGACATGAGTAATAATATAGTCAAAAATCTCTTAAAATTAGAAATATTTACCCATAGCATTCAGGCTTTGCTGACAGGTTTGAAATGGTATTTACTATCAGTAGCTAAAAGAAAATCTTCAGATTCCATTATTTGTTGAGTTTATAGGCGTTATCCCATTTCTGTTCGAGGGGACATCAGTAATAATATAGTCAAAAATCTCTTAAAATTAGAAATATTGACCCATAGCATTCATATTCTGCTCTCAAGTTAGAAATGGCATTTACTATTAGTAGTCAAAACAAAATCTTAAGATTCCATTATATGTCAAGTATATAGGCGTTATCCCATTTCTGGTCGAGGGGACATGAGTGATAATATAGTCAAAAATCTCTTAAAATTAGAAATATTGACCCATAGCATTCATATTCTGCTCTCAAGTTAGAAATGGGATTTACCATCAGTAGTCAAAACAAAATCTTAAGATTCCATTATATGTCGAGTTTATAGGCGTTATCCCATTTCTGGTTGAGGGGACATGAGTAATAATATAGTCAAAAATCTCTTAAAATTAGAAATATTGACCCATAGCATTCATATTCTGCTCTCAAGTTAGAAATGGCATTTACTATCAGTAGTCAAAACAAAATCTTAAGATTCCATTATATGTCGAGTTTATAGGCGTTATCCCATTTCTGGTTGAGGGGACATGAGTAATAATATAGTCAAAAATCTCTTAAAATTAGAAATATTGACCCATAGCATTCATATTCTGCTCTCAAGTTAGAAATGGCATTTACTATCAGAAGTCAAAACAAAATCTTAAGATTCCATTATATGTCGAGTTTATAGGCGTTATCCCATTTCTGGTTGAGGGGACATGAGTAATAATATAGTCAAAAATCTCTTAAAATTAGAAATATTGACCCATAGCATTCATATTCTGCTCTCAAGTTAGAAATGGCATTTACTATCAGTAGTCAAAACAAAATCTTAAGATTCCATTATATGTCGAGTTTATAGGCGTTATCCCATTTCTGGTTGAGGGGACATGAGTAATAATATAGTCAAAAATCTCTTAAAATTAGAAATATTGTCCCATAGCATTCATATTCTGCTCTCAAGTTAGAAATGGGATTTATTATCAGTAGTCAAAACAAAATCTTAAGATTCCATTATATGTCAAGTATATAGGCGTTATCCCATTTCTGGTTGAGGGGACATGAGTAATAATATAGTCAAAAATCTCTTAAAATTAGAAATATTGACCCATAGCATTCATATTCTGCTCTCAAGTTAGAAATGGCATTTACTATTAGTAGTCAAAACAAAATCTTAAGATTCCATTATATGTCAAGTATATAGGCGTTATCCCATTTCTGGTCGAGGGGACATGAGTGATAATATAGTCAAAAATCTCTTAAAATTAGAAATATTGACCCATAGCATTCAGGCTTTGCTGACAGGTTGGAAATGGTATTTACTATCAGTAGCTAAAAGAAAATCTTCAGATTCCATTATTTGTCGAGTTTATAGGCGTTATCCCATTTCTGGTTGAGGGGACATGAGTAATAATATAGTCAAAAATCTCTTAAAATTAGAAATATTGACCCATAGCATTCATATTCTGCTCTCAAGTTAGAAATGGCATTTACTATCAGTAGTCAAAACAAAATCTTAAGATTCCATTATATGTCGACTTTATAGGCGTTATCCCATTTCTGTTCGAGGGGACATGAGTAATAATATAGTCAAAAATCTCTTAAAATTAGAAATATTGACCCATAGCATTCATATTCTGCTCTCAACTTAGAAATGGCATTTACTATCAGTAGCCAAAAGAAAATCTTAAGATTCCATTATATGTCAAGTATATAGGCGTTATCCCATTTCTGGTCGAGGGGACATGAGTGATAATATAGTCAAAAATCTCTTAAAATTAGAAATATTGACCCATAGCATTCAGGCTTTGCTGACAGGTTGGAAATGGTATTTACTATCAGTAGCTAAAAGAAAATCTTCAGATTCCATTATTTGTCGAGTTTATAGGCGTTATCCCATTTCTGGTTGAGGGGACATGAGTAATAATATAGTCAAAAATCTCTTAAAATTAGAAATATTTACCCATAGCATTCAGGCTTTGCTGACAGGTTTGAAATGGTATTTACTATCAGTAGCTAAAAGAAAATCTTCAGATTCCATTATTTGTTGAGTTTATAGGCGTTATCCCATTTCTGTTCGAGGGGACATCAGTAATAATATAGTCAAAAATCTCTTAAAATTAGAAATATTGACCCATAGCATTCATATTCTGCTCTCAAGTTAGAAATGGCATTTACTATCAGTAGTCAAAACAAAATCTTAAGATTCCATTATATGTCGAGTTTATAGGCGTTATCCCATTTCTGGTTGAGGGGACATGAGTAATAATATAGTCAAAAATCTCTTAAAATTAGAAATATTGACCCATAGCATTCATATTCTGCTCTCAAGTTAGAAATGGCATTTACTATCAGTAGTCAAAACAAAATCTTAAGATTCCATTATATGTCGAGTTTATAGGCGTTATCCCATTTCTGGTTGAGGGGACATGAGTAATAATATAGTCAAAAATCTCTTAAAATTAGAAATATTGTCCCATAGCATTCATATTCTGCTCTCAAGTTAGAAATGGGATTTATTATCAGTAGTCAAAACAAAATCTTAAGATTCCATTATATGTCAAGTATATAGGCGTTATCCCATTTCTGGTTGAGGGGACATGAGTAATAATATAGTCAAAAATCTCTTAAAATTAGAAATATTGACCCATAGCATTCATATTCTGCTCTCAAGTTAGAAATGGCATTTACTATCAGTAGCCAAAACAAAATCTTCAGATTCCATTATATGTCGAGTTTATAGGCGTTATCCCATTTCTGGTCGAGGGGACATGAGTGATAATATAGTCAAAAATCTCTTAAAATTAGAAATATTGACCCATAGCATTCATATTCTGCTCTCAAGTTAGAAATGGGATTTACCATCAGTAGTCAAAACAAAATCTTAAGATTCCATTATTTGTCGAGTGTATAGGCGTTATCCCATTTCTGGTCGAGGGGACATGAGTAATAATATAGTCAAAAATCTCTTAAAATTAGAAATATTGACCCATAGCATTCAGGCTTTGCTGACAGGTTGGAAATGGTATTTACTATCAGTAGCTAAAAGAAAATCTTCAGATTCCATTATTTGTCGAGTTTATAGGCGTTATCCCATTTCTGGTTGAGGGGACATGAGTAATAATATAGTCAAAAATCTCTTAAAATTAGAAATATTGACCCATAGCATTCATATTCTGCTCTCAAGTTAGAAATGGCATTTACTATCAGTGGCCCAAAGAAGAGCCTAAGTCAGAAGGAATGGGTGCATAGTCAGAAAGAAATGCGAACATGAGTGACTTTTAGTGTAAGCATAGAGTTCGTGAGTTACCCGTTGCAACCCTAGTAAATTCACACATTGTCATACAAAGAAATACTAATGTTACAAAATGACATGTCACTGTGGTTCATGTACATCCATTTACTTTTCTTGTAAAGATAATATATGTGGGTGTTGACATCAGTGTGCAAGCACAATCATCACAACACATCCAGCAAGTCAGTCATCCTGTATAACAGTGGCATTTTAATCCTCCCTGTGTGAACCAAGCCATCATTATTCGTCATCCACAGTGATGTGGACACCCCTCCCTGGAACTTGACTGGCATCAAATTCTGTTGATTTACATTCATAGTTGACTTCTTCATAGGGTTTATTCAGCACATCCATCAGAATATGAATTATAGCTTCCTTTACCCCAACATACATCAGGTAATCTGTGGCAGCTCTGAAGTGTGAAAAAACATATGTTTATGTAAAAACAATTGACTAAGCACCGTAGCTCACAAAGACATCAACACATGTAGGCAACAGTTTGAAATATCAACAAAGCCAGTCATCTAACAGGATTTGTTGTAAGCATTGTCATTCATTCATTGTCATAGAACTATTTAAAGAAAACGCAATGAATATATCCAGAAATTGCAGCCTTACTGAAATATTTGGTTAACACATGTGACATCATTGGAACAAGTATGTGATGTTTCAGTGTCATTGTTTATGTGGTTTCTAAGGAGAAGAGAGACATCAGAAAGGGGCTTCGCACATTGTACCCATGTGGGGAATCGAATCCGGGTCTTCAGCTTGATGAGTGAATGCTTAACCAGTAGGCTGCCCTACCACCCCAAAGGAGAAGATGTTTACTCAGATGACAGATAACCAGTCCATGACATTAACTGGGTACAATGACAGGCATAAATATTTGACCATCTCTTACTGACTTTTGTTATTTGAACATGACAGTCACTGGAACTGTGTACCCCATGAGCAACATTCTATTCTTTTACCTGTCAGTGCCAATTTACTGTTAAGTGTTGGCTTCCATTTTTTCTTTGGTAATCACCTATCAGCACCAATTATCAGTTGGCTTCCCTTGTTAAGTTACCACCTTTGTTATCTTATTACTTTTGTTGTTCTTACAGGTACATACATATACATACGTACGTACGTACGTACGTACGTACGTACGTACGTACGTACCTACATACATACATACATACATACATACATACATACATACATACATACATACATACATACATACATACATACATACATACATACATACATACATACATGTTCTCTGCCTCATAGCATTCATTCACCTGATGAAGGAGTAAGTGTATACTCTGAAACGTTGTGTTCCTCATAATAAAGAAGTTGACATCCATAAATTCTCTTCCTCATGTGTATTGTTGAAAGACATTATAACATAACATATTATGACAGTTTATGTTCCTTATCAATACCTTAATAAGGTTTTTGGTGAGTAAAAGAAAAATAGCTGATCACCTCCATGGACTATAGGAAGATTGTCTGCCCTGAGAGCAGGAACATTAGGGTTTGATCTCCGGCTGCGTCATACCAAAAGACGTTAAAAGATTGCTAACGCAAATTGTGTAACCTTTAATACAGTTTGCTGACTCCGACCCAACTAGTACTTGTTTTAGCCCCTTATTGTCGGGCACCAGACAGGGTAGGAACAAGTACAACCTTTTATCGTCTTTTGGTATGACGTGGCTGAGGGTCGAACCCACGACCCTCTTCTCTCCAGGTGGATGCTCTATCCACTAGACCACGGTGGCGTAAATCATGTGTTTTTTCAACATAAAGGTATTCTTACATCATGTGCTTTTGCGTTAAAAGTTTCAGCTTCTTTTCAACCTTGCACTTGAACAGTCGCATACTTCCTGAGTATATCCTCCTGTATCAACAAAGAAATCCATCATTTCATCATAGTCAACTGTTGGGTAAGTACCCCATGGGACAGAACATAGGTCCATACCAACATATGCTAACCTAATTTATCTGATGGTCAGGTTCGATGACTTGGTTTATTACATGTCAAGTGGAAGTGTCTATATGTCAGTGTGTTTGGCAGTTAACTGCCTGCATTGTTGCTTATTTGATGGCAATATGGGTCATGTGTAGAGTACTTCATCAGAAATTTACATGACATTCCATGAATGAAAACGAAAGCCAATCCTACAATACATTTTTAGTAAATGCAAATAAATGTAACATTAAGCCAATCATGGTATCTGTCTCATTCCTCTGGTATAACCTCAAAACTTAAATATAATGTATGTTATCAGGAATTATTTGAAACAACCTGTTTCACAAAGTGTCATAAAATATTAATATTAAATACCGTGTATCTTTCAGTCTTGTTAATGTCAAAGCTGATATCAAGTACTGAAGCATTTTTTGCTGCATCTGAAACAATAATAAAAGTATGCAAAATATATAGGGAATACACGTTTTGTTATGTAATGAAGTAAGTAGTTAAGCAAATATAAGCAGATATAGCAACACTAATAACATTTCGTTTTAGTTAAAAGCACAAGTTAATTTGGAACGTGTTTAAGTTGTACTTGTGACAACAGGGGCACCACAATTTCCTCATGACTTACCACCATGCACTTTCAGATAAAAATACTGTGTGTGGGAATAAAAGTGGAAAAAACATTTTCATAAACATAAAAAACAATAATCAACAAATCCCTTTCTATTATCATGTGAAATTTCTGCTTAAAGGGAAGTCTTTTTTACGAGTTTCACCATATCACAAGCATGTTTTTATGAACAACTGTCAATACAGGGTGTTCAAAGAAAGGTGAGGGTGTCATTTCCCACTTATGACACCAATCACAAACACATGCAAAGGCAAGACTCGTGACACCTAAATAAATATGGGAACATATGGTACAAGTCAAAAAAAGGAATTGCATGGGACATCATTTTGGTCATTAATGCATTAAAGTTGGAAATGGCTTCCACATGTCTACCATGAAATGTTTTGAAAGCTTGCTGAGGCCTTGAATATTGTAGCCTTGATCAAACATGTTTGAAGCAAGAGTTGTATGGCACTCTTTGAAAAACTTTGTAGAAAGAGCACGCTCAATTGTACCTTAAAAGGCTGTAGCTGTTTGAAAATTGTCAGACATAAAAGCATAGTTGAGTACTAGAAAGTTGACGTCATCCTATTTGTTCTAGTCTTGTGTATACTTTACTGTCACTCTGAATCTTTATGCATAGACCAAAATATAAAACAGATGTACTAGTCTCTTTTATTTCCAGTTCAGTGGAAGGGAATGGCTACTTACATTATTGAACAATTTCAGATCATTGATATACAGGAATCTAAAGTCAAAATTCTTGACTGAATTCCTGTGTTTTTTATTTTGCCAATCCGAGCAGAAGTTCTGATTCATATGCATAAAGAAACAGATGGGCAAGGACCTGAGCACATGGCTACTACAGGAACAGATCCAACAAGAAGGTCCAATTCCAATTAACCTAGTAATTGCATGAACTAAATTATCTAAATAAAAATGGTACAGACGTTACTAGAAGTCAGACAAAACATATACTTAATGCAGTATGCAGTATGACTTCCATGCTCTCACACTGGTTGATTACTTCCTTCTATGTCTACAGTGTTATTCATAGGAAAACAATTCTTATTATGCCACAGTTTCCAAACCTGAATGTACTAAAGTACCTATAATGAATTATTCACTCTTAAAACTATCTGACAGGTTATCTCAATGCATTGTCATAGTATCTTCTTACCTACATGAAATTTCATGTTATTGTAGTTTACCAAGTCTCATTTGGTGATGGAAGTAGTAATGCTTTCTCAGTGGGTGTAACCAAAAACCTTCAGGTGGGTATTTGTTCAATAATCTGTGCACTGTTCTCAACAGAATACAATGACAGATTGAACCCATTTTTATATATCAAAAGAATGGACAGCTTGACTGATATTCCTTTGAAATTGAGGTGGTATCGATTGTAGGAATCAATAAGCTGCCAGAATATATATACATGAGAATATCCCCGAAGACAACATTAGCTCTCCTATTCCACCAGATCCTATAAGGAGTCCCAAATGACAGGGCTGTAAGTTATCATGTACACAATCCTTAAAGCATGGTCTTGCATTGAAGCTCACAAATTTTCATGTAACGTTTTCATGAGCAATGATTGGGAGGATGTTTGTTAAAAATAATATATGAGGCAACTGTCACATTTGAGAAGGTACATACATATTGAGACAGATATCCCTCTGCAAAATTGACTCTTCGGTCTGGTGTTGGGAAGCCGCTGACAAACTCATCATGCCTTTGAAGTTGTTCCTCACTGAAAAACATATCTAAAATGAGTGTTTGTTGTTCAGTGCCCCACTCAGCAATATCAATACTATATTGTGTCTCAACAAGACCAAATAGTGTTTTGATATTATGAGCAAAGTTATCACAGTCATAATGTATGATGTCATAAATTCATCCAGGGTCACAGAGATTTACCACCTGATCCATTGAGTCTCTGGTGTGACAAGCATAGGTTGCTAGGGACTAGTTCTAACACAGTATCCATTAAGTCTCCTGGTGTGACAAGCATAGGTTGCTAGGGACTAGTTCTAACACAGTATCCATTAAGTCTCCTGGTGTGACAAGCATAGGTTGCTAGGGACTAGTTCTAACACAGTATCCATTCAGGACTTCAATTAGTGCTTCGTGTTTTATTGGTACTTCAATAATTCATTGTTTTAGCTTGTTTCGTTTTGGTAAAACCCACAAACACAGGTTAGGAGTAAATCAAACACTATGAGAAGCAACTGGAATAAAAACCCAGTTATTACTATATCTGGATTGAAAGTCATTCCAAGTTATCTGCCAACAAAACTCACGGTGCATCTCTTGCAGCAATTCTCTGCAGGTGTGCCACTACATTTTCTTTCTGTATAAATTTTAGTAAAGAGAAACATCATTAACACAAGTTTAAGAAAACATCTTACTGAGAGTGAATAATACCTTCTTATCAGGTATCTAATGGCAGCAACTGACATGTGCCTCTTACAATTGTTAAGCTAAACTTTCAAATAATGTATTGTGAAATATGAAGGCACCATGGCAAAAACATTTATGAAGGTAATACAAGAGTACTGTTTACTCAGATATAATTTTTAGAATTTTTTTTATTAAAACAAAAGTACATCTGAAATCATCTTTGGTTAATATTTCATACTGAAAACATTAATGGATTTATCATTAAGCAACTGACACAATAATCAGGAAATGTCTTGTTGCAGGTGTTGCATTGGGTTTGGACATACCTTGTGTTCCCATACAGCAGTGTTGATTGGATACTTTGAATCTGAATCTGATTCATCTTCTGTGTCCATTTTGGTGTCATTAGCTGCTTCCATCTCTTTCTCTTAAAATGAAACATGATTGTATGTGAGATGTGGAACCAGTATGCGTAATCCTTGTACAAGTAACAAGCATGTGAATGAACACAAGAATGTTTTTTCTGTGTATGATAAGTATGAAATGGTTAATGTCAGAAGTATACTTATATTAGCTCTCTATCCTTAATTTCCAATGAGTCTGTGAATATATGAAATGTTCAGTACCAATATAGTAATATACTGATATCTCTGTGGTCAGAGATGTCATAAATTTATATCTGATAATAGGTACATGCCACGGTCTCAATGTGACGATCCAAGTGTAATTTAGTTCTTAACTTAAAGAACATGCACATGCTGGCACTTGCACAATGCTAGGCATTATTGGGCTTTGTTTCAGCGTGAAGAGTCAACTGTTTTGAGTAATATGTAATGTTATAGGTATATATCGCAAAAACCTACAAAAGTTCTGAATGCTTTGACATGGTGACCTGCCATAATTATTTTAACTGTACCATCAATAAAGGACAAACCTCCTTCTGTGGACATTGGTATGAGTGTCACATAATGCAGCTCCCACAAGTGGCCTATGCTTAGTACTGGCATGTCTCCTCGGTATTCAGCTGGACGAATGAATGTAGGCTCATTTGCAATTGTTGTAATGATCCTGATGGTCACCTTATAGAGGTCAGCTGTTGCCTGCAGAATGATGTTGTCTCCCCATTCCCCCAACATCTTCATCTTGATGATATAGTCTCTGAATGTTGGATAATGGTTTTTATCCACGAAGTCCTTGAACAGACGCCGCTTGCCCTAAAACATGTTCAGTTAGTGTGAGACTGAGAAATGTTACTGTTCTTCTTTCTTCTTATACTACATGTAATACACATAAAATGAAAAAAAACAACAACAAAAAAACATGACTCAATGTTGTGTTGTATAGTCATCTAAGTTCAAAGCTAAAATGGTACAAAATCTCTACAAGTGACAAACCTCACATTGTCAGAAGATACCATTTTGCATGACCCCCATGGGGAAGTACTGGTACTTGCATCTTTATGTTAAATGCAACATGCATAGATAATGAATTGAAATTGTGCAATTCATCAGGTTCCATGAATTTGTTCAAGTGTTTTTATGTTTGCCCAAAATTGGAAAAAGTGAAAATTCAAGATGAGCTAATGAAAAAACAGTTTTCACTGGCTTGCTGTATAAGTGCATTTACCTTAAATGCAAAGTTTAGTCCCATTTCACCTCATCCCAATCTATATGCCTTTCAAAATTTACTTGAACCTATTTATTGGGGTAAACATAAAGTATCAGAAATTATTCATACAGCCCAACTGAATAAAAAGTCAGTGGTTTATACTGTAACCTAAAAGAGCCACTTTGCATAATAATTTTCGACTTGCTCATTTAGAAATGTGTATACAGCCTTTCTGTACAAAATTTCAGCCATCACATTTTTTAAATGCCTTTTAAGGTCCTGATAACACTTTATGAGGTCAAAAGTAAAACAAATATTATAATGTAATATAAATGAGCTGCGGAAGTATGAAACCTATTAGAACTGTACATGTACATATGTGGCAGATAAAAGTGAATATTCAGCTTATTTTACACACCTTATCTGACAACTGTCATGCAATTTTGAAACTTAAATTCTCAATATTAAGAGGTGTCTCATAATATATCCAAAACATTTGAAAGTAATATACCCTACTAAACAGGCTGACCTGAGGGATGTTTCCTTCATTGGGACAACCATTCGTTTATCTTGTTTTAAATAAAGAAGTTTAATCAATGTCAAGGGCATCACCAATAGAGCCCCATGACTCTCTAGCTCACATAACGTAAGAGGAATTAATGAAAATATATTTGATGGAAAGGTTGAGAGCAAATTGTCATTGACATATTTAACATAAGATCCAAAATATGTGAGTACTTTTCAGAGACAATAATAATTAATACTATTCAGGCAAACCTTTGCTTCATAAGCTTTGAGGTTTCGTCCTGTAAGCCAAAATTTCAGTAACACAAAAAAAGATATGTGGAATTCATTACTGGATAAAAATTGAAATTCACCAAATCAAATGTACTGCCGTTATTGTAAAAAACATTCTTACTGCATATCAATGTTCATAATGATAACAAATATAAACTTTTTAAATCCATTGAGGTGTAATAATCTGAACAAACTTGCATGCCAAATTTTCAGCTGGTCCACTGATTCTTAGAATAACATGATTCCAAACAAATAGGACATGGCTTCAGCCCAATTAGGCTTTCACATTTTATTCACTATATCAAATTCCTACCCTAAGAAAATTGAAAGTATGCATTATTGTTTACTTACCTGCACATATTGCACAACCTTTTCTCGCAGATGTTTATGGCTGATTATGTCAATGTCATGTATTTGAAGCTGTTGAGCCAATGCAATAAACATGCAGTTACCAGCCCCTTCATTGTCCACAATGTCAAGGTCATAGAATGAGGCCTCCATCTCCAGTTCTTTCATAGTTGGTGTCTTCTTGCGTCCTGCATAGACACATTATATAAGTAACACAAATTGACCTGTAATATATCTCTTAGTATATTGTTTTTATGGAAACAACTGTAATGTTCTGCAATACATGTACTGATGTAGTATTTTTCAGCTGAGACAATGAACCATTTCAGATGTGCATGATATACAGGAAGACATATGAGTAACTGACACAACATCATATGGAGAATTTGTGTACTCCTTCCAACAGATATAATAATGCATCTAGGATTGATCAGTCTTGTTGATCGTACCCATCTGTATTCAGATATTACCTTTTGTTTCTGCATTGTCTCTCCTCTTGGTTTGAGCCTGTTGTTCTCCCTTTCCTTAAAAGTACAAACATACATCACCAAGTGCAAGCATACATCACCAAGTGCAAGCATATACCTTCAGGATAAAGTAATGCTTTACATTCATTTTTTTTTTAAAACATTTATTCCGTTGAAGTGTTCAATATGTGTAAATGTACTCTGAAAGGTGGAAAATTTGTACAAGTATTGATTACCCTTCTTATTGTGCATGCATGCATGCAAGTATTCATGCATATGCCTAATGTTTTGGAGACTAACCGTTCCAGAAGATTCCTATGAGGTGTTTCAAATTGTAATACCTTTTTCATCCTGTGTTTTTCCCCTTTTGAGTGGCTTTCTACCCTCTTCTCTTGCATCTGGCCGAGCATCTGTTAGAAAAATATATGAAAATTATCACATTTATGCCTTCTTCTGCACATACCAACATATCACAGAGCAACCAATTTAACTGGTTAAGGAACTGAACTGAACTGAAAATCATCAAATGCTTCAACCATTGACTGCAGTTTGATTCCAGACCCTTGATCAGTTGTGTTTTGTATACCACCTAACCTCCTGTGTCAATGTTAGCTTTCGTTCCAAGAAGACAAACCAATGAATGTCCCTTGTAAGTAATGTATAATATCACAGGAAGTATCATATACTACATTAATCCTAAGATTTTAGTACAAATGACATAACAATTAATGACTACACCAAATTATTTCAATACCTTGCAAAGTCGTGAATTAGTAATGGCATGTAATTACATTTGCTATGATCCATATAATACTTTCAAAATTCTGAACCATAAAAAACATTAATTAATGTATGTTCCTGATTTTAAATATGATGTTGTTCCTTCTCTTTTAATTAACACTGCAGTATTAGCAACATCCACACTGTCTGGGTACCATGTCATAGAATAAACCAAGTTACCCGATCACCTGGTCAAATTAGTCACCTCAAGCATGTATTGCTGGAGACCTTTTTCAACCTGCAGTAGCAACATGAGTTGTATCATCTTTGATAACTGTTCTAATTAGCTGTCCAACTTGGTATTTTCTTAGAAATGCAAAATATAAAAGTCTACCAAAGAAACTGAATAGCAGAATAACAGAACCTGCCTGATGTTGTCTAAAGTTTCATGAAGAAATACGCAATGGTTTATGAATTGTGCTCTGGAAACAAACCCCACCCTCATTTGAACCAACTTGTTGCCATGAAAATGCAAATGAAATATTATAAACATTCCAGCATGGGAAAAGGCACCAATTGTGAGGGTCCATGAGGAAATATTGAATGCTCTTGATACAAAATGTGACAGATGGACACACTGATCTCGTTTCTGTATCTCCAACTGCACTTACTCTGGGTGGAGGAAATGATAAAAACAGCAAATACATTACAAACATCATGTCTTTACAGTCCACCAAGATAGATGATGTCATCTATTCTGTAAGAACTATTTTATTTAAAATACATTATTAAACATACTTGCTAATTACATAATATTCATAAACTACTACTGGAAATATGTACCTTCATATGTCCTCATTCTTCTCCTCTTCTCTTCTTTTCTTGTCCGAGAAGTAATGTCACACACCTGCTCCCACTGCACATGCTTGTTCGGATAGGCAACCTTGAATTGGGAGTTCTGGGAATCTATTTCGACAATAGTTCCTTCCTTGCATTTTTTCATCCCTTTTTTTGGCCCACCTCGTTTGACTCTGGTATCTTTTCCATGAACCCTCACCAGAACTTCATCCCCTATCTTGTACACTGATGTGTCCTTGTTTTCGTGGTGTTTTTTAATCATTTCTGATGATTTGGTCAGTGACGCCTGCAGCACATTTTTCCTGAGGTTTGTGATTGCTTCTATTCTCTCATTAATGCCATATTCGTCTCCAGTATCCTAAAGAATAATAAAGTATTACATTTACCATGTTTTTATATCCACATATCTAACATAAACGTCAAATAATATCACTTCCACTTCACATGTAGTTTTACCTCATATTCTAAACATATCATTACTTCTAATATCTTGCAATTGAAATAGTTCTATGTACATGTCTCTACTTGTCACATCTCCTGTCATTATTGCACAGGTTTACTGGACCCGATGACAGTTATTATCCCCTGCACCTACAAATTTGTCTTTTTATTTTGTACAAAGTTTTGAAATTTTGACTTAGTCTCTGAACTGAATGGAAGCAGTGGGGTTTACCAGAGCAGAACCCGAAAACTGTTCAAGATATCTTCATGAAACTGTGTACAATATCAGTCTATGGCTATTATAGAGTCTTTTTTCTTTAAAAAACTTCAAAATATGATTTATTTTCCTTTTCTAATTAAATGACACACCAGTAGACACTGCAACAAAATCCATAAAAGCATTAATTGTAGATGTATTAGAAATTCACCAGGTTTTGAGGTGTCAGCATGCTTACAACTTTTGTACCTTATCTGTACCGTGTACCTTACTCTGGTAACTACATGTACCTATAAAGGGCTGCAACAATACCTGCCTGAAAACAATGCTCTACAATACCAGGCATGATATCTAAATATTCTTAGCTTACACAAACTTGAAGATGATTATAACCTTTGTTTATCATTAAAGTTTTACTAAGGCAGATGTACAAAGTTTATGGAGATGTTATATTAGCTCTTGTATTCAACCTCTTCTACAAGGAGGTGAGACAAACTGATAATTTACAATGTCACATTTGATTGCCCATATCATTGTATTTAAAACTAGACAATGGGCGGGGTATATAGATGAGTTTGTCTCTTGTTATGCGTAATGACATAAATCCTCCATACCTCATCACTCTCTGCAGATAGTTCGCACTGCTCATCTTCTTCAGAGCAAGAGTACGCATCAACTGTATTTCCAGCTCTCAACAAATTCTTGAAGTGTACTGGAGGGCAGCCCAGCATGGCCTTGTATGGTGAACAACCTGTTAACATAGGAATTATGTTTAAATACAAGCCTGTGTTTCTCATGTCTTCTTCAACAATAAATGTCACAACTGCACTGTGGCAATATTGATATTTCCAGAGTTCTATAAATTTGCAGTAGCCTGAAGGGTGCATGCAACTATATTTTGGTCAATACCTGGTCAACTATGAAACTGTTGTACCTTCTGTTATGAGCCATCATCATTTAACTGTGTCATAATGGTTATTTGTTGGTCAGTGCGTAAAATAAATTCAATGTCACACATCCACATTTACCATGCTTACAGTCTGAAAAGTATATGCTTACATTATGTGCTTCACACTTTGTGACATATGCCCACATTAAATTAAAGCTATATATTCAAACTTTACCAAGTGCAGAATGAATGCTTTCATTGTGTATTCTAGCATATGCTGGCAACTTTTCCACCCAGTTGAAGTTTTCTCCATCACCATGTTTGCTGTGATCAAATTCCAGATGGCTTTTCCAATCCCGGTGTGATCGTTCACTCTGAAATAAATTAACATCTAAATAGTAAACAGATTAGGCAGGCACAAAAAGTGTGCACAAGTGTTATACCATGTATATGAAATATATGAAATATATGAAATATATAACAAAAACAGTTTCCATAATCATAAGAAGCCTTTTCTAAAAGCTGGGTCCACTTAATGATTCCATCAATATCATAAGCATGTGTTATGAATCAACATAAAATAGTGATAGTAGCAGGTGTTCACGAAGGTTAGTGTATCCTGCCCCACCGGTGTCATCTGTCACACACATGCAAGTGTGGCTCTGCCCTAAAGATGACATGTTCCAAATAACATCAACATTAATGTTCTTACTATTAAGTATCTACATCTATTACCTCAACATTTATAGTGTGCATGTTTTGATTGAAATTTGTCACCCACCTTTCCCTGAGATTGTGGATGGTGAGCCCGACTTCGGACAATCTTCGTTCCCATTTCTATGCAGAGTTGGTTGACTGCTCCCTTAAACTCGGAGCCTTGATCGCACTGTAAGATTCTTGGATTTCCCCATCCATACTCAAAGTAGATTTTGTTGAGTTCCAATGCCACTGAACAGGCTCTTTTGTTGGAAAGAGGCCGAAGCCACAAGAATCTTGTGAAAACATCAATAACAGACAAGATGTAAATGAATGTTTCACCATCATTTTCTGCAGGCATTCCAGTTAGTTCCACAAGGTCAACCTGATGTCGCCCCATTGGTGTTCTTGAAATAACCGGTTTTAGTTTGGCAGCATTAACAAATTTAGGATGTAACAGTTGCCTGTCATCTTGCCTGTCTATAAAGTCTTGTATGGCTTCCTGAGAAATGCCAGCATAATACTGGTTTATCAATGTTCTTATTTTCTTTGCTCCAGAACCCCGCAACTCAGTGTAAAATTTGCAGATGACATTATCAAGTTCTGACTTTGATATCACTATTTTCCTGTCCCCATCAATAATCTCCAATCTATATTCTCCTTGGACAGGGTTGTGAATTTCTGTCAAAGATAAATTGAACTTCTGTATTTTCTGGCAGACATGGTAAAACTTGACAGTCTTGCTATCCTTGGGAATGTCACCTCCTTCAAGTTTTAATCTAAGGCAGTCGTAATTCTCCTTTGAAATCACACCAATACTTCTTTTTCTTGAACATTTTACCTGAAATGCATTAAAAGCAAACCTATTACATCATGTTCAACTGTATGTCATACATGATGTCCATAATCATATTTACCAGGCTTTTCTTTCATATTACTAAATTTATTGACTATGTGCATTAGTCATCCTACAAAAACACATTACCAAAGATACAGAAACTCACCCTCATTGGGCAATGTACATGTCACATGTTAGGCTGAGCCAGAGAAGAGAAATAGTACATGATTTGTTCAAAACACATACTGTAATTCCCAATAAGTACTCGAGTGTTCATTGAGATTTTGTGATAACGTTCTTCAACATGTCCTCATATTTGGTTGCTGATGCTGACAAAAGAATGATGACTAACAATCTATTTTCCACAATCATATTTCTAGGATTCAAGGAAAATTCAAATAAACAGACACTCAGAACTATTTCTTTCTTATTGATTGTGAATGTGGTACATGGTGCTAGTCTTAAAATAAACTGCATATAGAGTAACTGTTTTCATAATGAATGCCATATCAGCCTTTCAAATCACAAGATTCACTGAAATGTGTTCATATTGTAATATATATGGTAAATAAAGACAATCAGGCAATGTAAACACGTAACCCTTAATTCTATGCATTATTTCAGTTTTTCAGAATACCAGGTTATCCTAATGATTGTAAAGAAAGAAAGGAAAACCTTCCCATAATCACATCTTGGAAAAGAACTTTTCAAAATGTTTACTACTTGCAGAAATGGCCCCTATTTTAGTGTCAAGTATTCATACTTAAAACACTAGATTACGGTATACAGAACTGTATAGAATGTCATGCTCACTATAAAAAGTACACATCATAGGCTCATGGTAATGGGAAAATCATAAAAATTAACAAGTTATTTAGCATAGGTTGTAGAAGTAGAAGGACCCTCAATATACAAGAACAGATTGTCATGTAGGGAAATGTCTGAGTAGGGAAATGTCAGTGTTGGGAACTGTCTGTGTGGGGAAATGTCCATGTGGTTTGTAGCTAATTACATGCAGAATGTGTTATGTAGATCAGTAGCAGACACACAGCCTAACCCCAGGGTGAGCTAATGATTATCTTCTAAGATTCCTCTTTAGTTTGTGTCTTTATTTGGGTATACATACTCACAGTATGGTATAATGGACAGATTGTCACACCATGAAGTTATCACCACATCATACAAAGGCTAAGCAATATTACTTCAGAAAAATAGATGAACATGAGATGTATGAGTACCTGTTCTGTTCTAATGATTATTGAACAAACTAATTATACCATTCTTAACAAACATATCAAGATGTCATCATGACACAATAGTTCAGCTATTGCCGAATTTTAAATATTGCTGTGTACGAAGTAGTTACATGAAACAATTAAGTTATCACTTTTCTTCAGACTAAGAAATAAAGGCCTGGTTCCACCATGCACTTTGCATTACTTGTTTTAGTTACAATGCATGTCAGTTCTAATAATATTGAACTTACAAACTGGTGGGAACTGAAGTAAATGATGTACTGACAGTAATCATTACAAGGCCTTACAAAATGGAAAGGAATATATTTTATTCTGGACCTACAAATCCTATCTTACAATAATGACCAAAACATTAGATATCTAATGTAAGTAGAACTTGTAAACATAAGTACCTAATCAAATTAACTTTGATCTAAACAAAGAGTTAAAAAAAGTAACATATACATATCATTGTATGAATTCATAGTGTTGGTACTTACTCTTGCCATTGGTTGGGATGTACTGGACTCTGTCTGTTTCCTCAAATCATCTGACATTCTGACAGATATTCAGGAATCTCATCTGCAAACAAATGATACTACATGAAACTAGTTTTCCTAAATTGTTGACAATTGTTGAATATGTGTGCTTTGTGTTTTTTGCCCAGACCCAGGGAGAACATTTGTAATGTGATCGCCATTTATCAGTTGCTGGGGTCCCCATCCTGCCATAGTCTCTGGCAGTACCTCTCTTCAGTGTGGACATATCAGTATGAAGTATACAAGTCTTATGAATATTGGTTTTTACAATCTGCCAGCTCTCTGTGTTAATGAGATCAAAAGCATGTTGTGTATTGAATGAAAGAACACATTGCCCCCATTGCACCATACAAACATAAAGGGGTCGAAATATACAGGTATCTGTGTGAGAAGGAGGTAGAGGACCTTAATTATCAACCTTAGGTATGGGTAATTTATAATGTGATTGAGGTTAGGACCGTATTTAGATGAGCCCCCCCCCACCCCACCCCCCACACACTTTATGTGCATTTATTATGTCCCCAATATATACAGATTGCATTTTCAGTCCTATGAATATTTGTTTTTAAAAACTGTTCATTTATAAATAGCAAACACTCTGTTCAGTAAACTTAATACAATCTTGATGTACCAAGATAAGTTATATCAAACTAGAAATGATGCAGTTGTTTAATTTACCCCTGCTATCCATTATTACATTACTATGTGTGACTACATATTGACTGTTAGTGTAATACTGACTCTTATGACATAATGACATGCATAAAATATATAAACTGTATAGTGAGCAAGGTTAAGAATTTTTGGATGAACAACTTTTTTCTTACAATTAAGAGCGACGTTTCAGTGTAGGTTCTAACACCGTTATCAATCAAATAATATCACTTGCTGGATACAGCAATAAAAAGTAAAGAACCCCTTAATCCACAGATCATATCGAAAAGAAATTTGGACTAGTATTTGAACAGTTTCATTTTCATTACTAATTTTTTACAATAAAAGACAATTATTTCTCTACATAATGTGACCCCCTAAATTGTTCTACAAATCCTTCAAATAGAAACAATTTGAAACATTGGAAAATATGATACTTTCATATTTTTGTAACAAATGAAGAATACAGGTCCAAATTGCGAAACCGCATTTTACTTCTATCCCATGAACATGGTGCTGCAAATACTCAGGTTTGGAGGTCTTCTCTTTAAGACTTTCAAAATATGTATTATTACCAAAACAAGAATTATTTGATATGAGGAAGTATCATACATGGCAATTATCACTGCTAATTACCAGAGATGTGTCAATCATTAAAGATATGCTGAAACGTTTGTGCCTAAAGCAATGATATTACTAACCTGCAATGTTTAACTGTCATCAGGACAGATAATTGTAGCGCCAATCCAACAGAGAAATATAACAAGGAGATATGATTCAATGTTACACACATGGATTGTTGATACAGACTAGTACCTGGCACAGTTGAAAAGTCATTCACATTCCATAAACAACCACATACAACAATCTTATATTCTTAGCTGCTAACTTCAGGAAGCGATGGTCATTGGCCTTTTCAATGAAACAAGTGTTTTCATTGGCTAATTCATCATGATTGACAGAAACGAGGAATGAACAGTACCAGATCAGTGACCATAAACCATGGTCCTGAGGATTGCATAATATTGCATCCTACATACACCAACATGCCAGCTCTCTGTATTAATTAGATCAAAAGCATGTTGTGTATTGAACGAAAGAACACATTGCCCCCATGTGAGAGCACCATGCAAACATAAAGGGGTGGAAATATACAGGTATCTGTGTGAGAAGGAGGTAGAGGACCTTAATTATCAACCTGGTTAGGACCATATTTAGATGAGACCCTCCCCCCCCCACCCCCCACCCCCCAACCACACACACACACACATTTTATGTGCATTTATTTTGTCCCCAATATATACAGATTGCATTTTCATGGACATTTATAACATATAACAAATGAAATATTTAACCTTTTTATTCAAAATAATACAGAACCATGTCATTTATGTTGTACGTACCCACTCCCCCAAATATACTTGTGATAAATTTTGGTGACCCCCTACATGTTGTCATTAAAACGCCCCTCCCCAACCCCATCCTTTATTTGCTGTGTAATTTCTTCATGATCACCCCCCCAATAAATATATAAATTACCAGTCCTTATGATATTCTACAATATTCTGCAATGACATGCAAGATATAAAGTCGTGTTTTTAATCACATTTTTAAATCTAAATATATTTGAACCAAGTCTGTCAGGATTTGACAAAATTGGTAAATAGTGAAAAGGAAGTAACTTTTTCATGTGTCATATTCACAAATGCATTTATAATGGCATTTATTTATTTTTCAAATTTAAAGTTTATTTCTATTTCTACATTTACCCTGTAGTTTTGAATATAAGAATTTAGAGAAACCACACGAAATAAGGCATAATATATTCATGTAAAGATAAAAAGATACTTTCCACAATAATTAACATGAAAAAGTTATTTCATAATTTCTAGTTCTGAGTGAGTAATTAGCATGTAATGTTATACTTAATGTTAACTGCCTCACAATTAAGTTCTCTACTAGGAAGTTATTCTTGGTGCAGACACTTAGCATACTACTACACAATGTGTTTTCACCCAATACTGACAGAACATAATAGCACAGGAAACAGGTATTCCAGGTTGGGTATCAAGCAGTCTATGCTGGTCATGTAACTTTATTTCTGTAACTTTCTTTCCTGTAACATTTCTTCCTACAATCAGGGTAAGATCTAATAATACCTCCACTGACAAATTACAGGTTATGATAGGGTGGGGGGTGTACATGAAGTACGAAATCAGACTACCAGTTGTTGGACTTTCATTTTGTGGAAGACTCAGTGGGTTAGATCGCTGACTCTGTGCTTGCGATAAGGTGGCTCACTCTGGGTGTAATACTCTGCAAAAAATATCACCAGACTACATGCATAAAAGATGTACATGCACAATTAATAAAAAAATCAATCTGTCGGAGAAATTGGGACAAAGAAACATCATACACAAGAGAATTGAACCCCCCTCTATCTAAACCAGTGGATGGATTGTAAAAGAGTAGGGGATCCATTCTAATATGTGGTTGATGTCATCCTCTGCTACACTGCCAACTTTGATATTAATAGAGCCAAGGTTCAACCACGCAGATAAAGCAAATGGAGCATGTCTTTCAGATATAAAGGTTGCTCTATCCTCATATATAGTTTAATAAAGTATAGTTTAACCTGAACCATTATAAGGCACAAGGACAATTGCGTTTAATATCCATTGAGTCTGCAGTAAATCCATAATCAAACAAAGAAATAACTAACATTAAAACTTTTAGTTTTAATATTAATTTCCTTCAATTTAATTACATCACATGGAGAACTAAACATAGACATGTACAATGACTGTCCAGCTTGATGCTGCCCATTTTTTCTGAAATGGGAGAGAGAGTGAATGAAATTGTTCAGCCAAGATGGGGTTTTGCATGGTCAAAGGGATCAGGAGGGGCCTATGCAACAGCCCATGACTGCCTGGGGGGTCCAGGGAGGGGCCACCCCATCATTGTAGACTTAAGACTTTCAGCAGGTTTAAGGGCTCCTAAAGCTGCCCTTAAACCTGCTGAAAGTCTTAAGTCTACACAAGCTCTTTAAAAAAAGACAGAGAGAAAAAGAATTTTGATTTGATTTTTGACCAGTTTCCTAGGGTGCCTTGGGCTGTTTGAAGCTCACCTGGCAAGCTGGAAGAACCTCTGAGGTGTACACTGGCTGTTGTCTTGACGCGTCGAGGAAGCCGCCCATTTTTTCTGAAATGGGAGAGAGAGTGAATGAAATTGTTCAGCCAAGATGGGGTTTTGCATGGTCAAAGGGATCAGGAGGGGCCTATGCAACAGCCCATGACTGCCTGGGGGGTCCAGGGAGGGGCCACCCCATCATTGTAGACTTAAGACTTTCAGCAGGTTTAAGGGCTCCTATAGCTGCCCTTAAACCTGCTGAAAGTCTTAAGTCTACACAAGCTCTTTAAAAAAAGACAGAGAGAAAAAGAATTTTGATTTGATTTTTGACCAGTTTCCTAGGGTGCCTTGGGCTGTTTGAAGCTCACCTGGCAAGCTGGAAGAACCTCTGAGGTGCACACTGGCTGTTGTCTTGACGCGCCGAGGAAGCCGCCCATTTTTTCTGAAATGGGAGAGAGAGTGAATGAAATTGTTCAGCCAAGATGGGGTTTTGCATGGTCAAAGGGATCAGGAGGGGCCTATGCAACAGCCCATGACTGCCTGGGGGGTCCAGGGAGGGGCCACCCCATCATTGTAGACTTAAGACTTTCAGCAGGTTTAAGGGCTCCTATAGCTGCCCTTAAACCTGCTGAAAGTCTTAAGTCTACACAAGCTCTTTAAAAAAAGACAGAGAGAAAAAGAATTTTGATTTGATTTTTGACCAGTTTCCTAGGGTGCCTTGGGCTGTTTGAAGCTCACCTGGCAAGCTGGAAGAACCTCTGAGGTGTACACTGGCTGTTGTCTTGACGCGTCGAGGAAGCCGCCCATTTTTTCTGAAATGGGAGAGAGAGTGAATGAAATTGTTCAGCCAAGATGGGGTTTTGCATGGTCAAAGGGATCAGGAGGGGCCTATGCAACAGCCCATGACTGCCTGGGGGGTCCAGGGAGGGGCCACCCCATCATTGTAGACTTAAGACTTTCAGCAGGTTTAAGGGCTCCTAAAGCTGCCCTTAAACCTGCTGAAAGTCTTAAGTCTACACAAGCTCTTTAAAAAAAGACAGAGAGAAAAAGAATTTTGATTTGATTTTTGACCAGTTTCCTAGGGTGCCTTGGGCTGTTTGAAGCTCACCTGGCAAGCTGGAAGAACCTCTGAGGTGCACACTGGCTGTTGTCTTGACGCGCTGAGGAAGCCGCCCATTTTTTCTGAAATGGGAGAGAGAGTGAATGAAATTGTTCAGCCAAGATGGGGTTTTGCATGGTCAAAGGGATCAGGAGGGGCCTATGCAACAGCCCATGACTGCCTGGGGGGTCCAGGGAGGGGCCACCCCATCATTGTAGACTTAAGACTTTCAGCAGGTTTAAGGGCTCCTATAGCTGCCCTTAAACCTGCTGAAAGTCTTAAGTCTACACAAGCTCTTTAAAAAAAGACAGAGAGAAAAAGAATTTTGATTTGATTTTTGACCAGTTTCCAAGGGTGCCTTGGGCTGTTTGAAGCTCACCTGGCAAGCTGGAAGAACCTCTGAGGTGTACACTGGCTGTTGTCTTGACGCGTCGAGGAAGCCGCCCATTTTTTCTGAAATGGGAGAGAGAGTGAATGAAATTGTTCAGCCAAGATGGGGTTTTGCATGGTCAAAGGGATCAGGAGGGGCCTATGCAACAGCCCATGACTGCCTGGGGGGTCCAGGGAGGGGCCACCCCATCATTGTAGACTTAAGACTTTCAGCAGGTTTAAGGGCTCCTATAGCTGCCCTTAAACCTGCTGAAAGTCTTAAGTCTACACAAGCTCTTTAAAAAAAGACAGAGAGAAAAAGAATTTTGATTTGATTTTTGACCAGTTTCCTAGGGTGCCTTGGGCTGTTTGAAGCTCACCTGGCAAGCTGGAAGAACCTCTGAGGTGCACACTGGCTGTTGTCTTGACGCGCCGAGGAAGCCGCCCATTTTTTCTGAAATGGGAGAGAGAGTGAATGAAATTGTTCAGCCAAGATGGGGTTTTGCATGGTCAAAGGGATCAGGAGGGGCCTATGCAACAGCCCATGACTGCCTGGGGGGTCCAGGGAGGGGCCACCCCATCATTGTAGACTTAAGACTTTCAGCAGGTTTAAGGGCTCCTATAGCTGCCCTTAAACCTGCTGAAAGTCTTAAGTCTACACAAGCTCTTTAAAAAAAGACAGAGAGAAAAAGAATTTTGATTTGATTTTTGACCAGTTTCCTAGGGTGCCTTGGGCTGTTTGAAGCTCACCTGGCAAGCTGGAAGAACCTCTGAGGTGTACACTGGCTGTTGTCTTGACGCGTCGAGGAAGCCGCCCATTTTTTCTGAAATGGGAGAGAGAGTGAATGAAATTGTTCAGCCAAGATGGGGTTTTGCATGGTCAAAGGGATCAGGAGGGTCCTATGCAACAGCCCATGACTGCCTGGGGGGTCCAGGGAGGGGCCACCCCATCATTGTAGACTTAAGACTTTCAGCAGGTTTAAGGGCTCCTATAGCTGCCCTTAAACCTGCTGAAAGTCTTAAGTCTACACAAGCTCTTTAAAAAAAGACAGAGAGAAAAAGAATTTTGATTTGATTTTTGACCAGTTTCCTAGGGTGCCTTGGGCTGTTTGAAGCTCACCTGGCAAGCTGGAAGAACCTCTGAGGTGTACACTGGCTGTTGTCTTGACGCGTCGAGGAAGCCGCCCATTTTTTCTGAAATGGGAGAGAGAGTGAATGAAATTGTTCAGCCAAGATGGGGTTTTGCATGGTCAAAGGGATCAGGAGGGGCCTATGCAACAGCCCATGACTGCCTGGGGGGTCCAGGGAGGGGCCACCCCATCATTGTAGACTTAAGACTTTCAGCAGGTTTAAGGGCTCCTATAGCTGCCCTTAAACCTGCTGAAAGTCTTAAGTCTACACAAGCTCTTTAAAAAAAGACAGAGAGAAAAAGAATTTTGATTTGATTTTTGACCAGTTTCCTAGGGTGCCTTGGGCTGTTTGAAGCTCACCTGGCAAGCTGGAAGAACCTCTGAGGTGCACACTGGCTGTTGTCTTGACGCGTCGAGGAAGCCGCCCATTTTTTCTGAAATGGGAGAGAGAGTGAATGAAATTGTTCAGCCAAGATGGGGTTTTGCATGGTCAAAGGGATCAGGAGGGGCCTATGCAACAGCCCATGACTGCCTGGGGGGTCCAGGGAGGGGCCACCCCATCATTGTAGACTTAAGACTTTCAGCAGGTTTAAGGGCTCCTATAGCTGCCCTTAAACCTGCTGAAAGTCTTAAGTCTACACAAGCTCTTTAAAAAAAGACAGAGAGAAAAAGAATTTTGATTTGATTTTTGACCAGTTTCCTAGGGTGCCTTGGGCTGTTTGAAGCTCACCTGGCAAGCTGGAAGAACCTCTGAGGTGCACACTGGCTGTTGTCTTGACGCGTCGAGGAAGCCGCCCATTTTTTCTGAAATGGGAGAGAGAGTGAATGAAATTGTTCAGCCAAGATGGGGTTTTGCATGGTCAAAGGGATCAGGAGGGGCCTATGCAACAGCCCATGACTGCCTGGGGGGTCCAGGGAGGGGCCACCCCATCATTGTAGACTTAAGACTTTCAGCAGGTTTAAGGGCTCCTATAGCTGCCCTTAAACCTGCTGAAAGTCTTAAGTCTACACAAGCTCTTTAAAAAAAGACAGAGAGAAAAAGAATTTTGATTTGATTTTTGACCAGTTTCCTAGGGTGCCTTGGGCTGTTTGAAGCTCACCTGGCAAGCTGGAAGAACCTCTGAGGTGCACACTGGCTGTTGTCTTGACGCGCCGAGGAAGCCGCCCATTTTTTCTGAAATGGGAGAGAGAGTGAATGAAATTGTTCAGCCAAGATGGGGTTTTGCATGGTCAAAGGGATCAGGAGGGGCCTATGCAACAGCCCATGACTGCCTGGGGGGTCCAGGGAGGGGCCACCCCATCATTGTAGACTTAAGACTTTCAGCAGGTTTAAGGGCTCCTATAGCTGCCCTTAAACCTGCTGAAAGTCTTAAGTCTACACAAGCTCTTTAAAAAAAGACAGAGAGAAAAAGAATTTTGATTTGATTTTTGACCAGTTTCCTAGGGTGCCTTGGGCTGTTTGAAGCTCACCTGGCAAGCTGGAAGAACCTCTGAGGTGTACACTGGCTGTTGTCTTGACGCGTCGAGGAAGCCGCCCATTTTTTCTGAAATGGGAGAGAGAGTGAATGAAATTGTTCAGCCAAGATGGGGTTTTGCATGGTCAAAGGGATCAGGAGGGGCCTATGCAACAGCCCATGACTGCCTGGGGGGTCCAGGGAGGGGCCACCCCATCATTGTAGACTTAAGACTTTCAGCAGGTTTAAGGGCTCCTAAAGCTGCCCTTAAACCTGCTGAAAGTCTTAAGTCTACACAAGCTCTTTAAAAAAAGACAGAGAGAAAAAGAATTTTGATTTGATTTTTGACCAGTTTCCTAGGGTGCCTTGGGCTGTTTGAAGCTCACCTGGCAAGCTGGAAGAACCTCTGAGGTGTACACTGGCTGTTGTCTTGACGCGTCGAGGAAGCCGCCCATTTTTTCTGAAATGGGAGAGAGAGTGAATGAAATTGTTCAGCCAAGATGGGGTTTTGCATGGTCAAAGGGATCAGGAGGGGCCTATGCAACAGCCCATGACTGCCTGGGGGGTCCAGGGAGGGGCCACCCCATCATTGTAGACTTAAGACTTTCAGCAGGTTTAAGGGCTCCTATAGCTGCCCTTAAACCTGCTGAAAGTCTTAAGTCTATACAAGCTCTTTAAAAAAAGACAGAGAGAAAAAGAATTTTGATTTGATTTTTGACCAGTTTCCTAGGGTGCCTTGGGCTGTTTGAAGCTCACCTGGCAAGCTGGAAGAACCTCTGAGGTGCACACTGGCTGTTGTCTTGACGCGCTGAGGAAGCCGCCCATTTTTTCTGAAATGGGAGAGAGAGTGAATGAAATTGTTCAGCCAAGATGGGGTTTTGCATGGTCAAAGGGATCAGGAGGGGCCTATGCAACAGCCCATGACTGCCTGGGGGGTCCAGGGAGGGGCCACCCCATCATTGTAGACTTAAGACTTTCAGCAGGTTTAAGGGCTCCTATAGCTGCCCTTAAACCTGCTGAAAGTCTTAAGTCTACACAAGCTCTTTAAAAAAAGACAGAGAGAAAAAGAATTTTGATTTGATTTTTGACCAGTTTCCTAGGGTGCCTTGGGCTGTTTGAAGCTCACCTGGCAAGCTGGAAGAACCTCTGAGGTGTACACTGGCTGTTGTCTTGACGCGTCGAGGAAGCCGCCCATTTTTTCTGAAATGGGAGAGAGGGTGAATGAAATTGTTCAGCCAAGATGGGGTTTTGCATGGTCAAAGGGATCAGGAGGGGCCTATGCAACAGCCCATGACTGCCTGGGGGGTCCAGGGAGGGGCCACCCCATCATTGTAGACTTAAGACTTTCAGCAGGTTTAAGGGCTCCTATAGCTGCCCTTAAACCTGCTGAAAGTCTTAAGTCTACACAAGCTCTTTAAAAAAAGACAGAGAGAAAAAGAATTTTGATTTGATTTTTGACCAGTTTCCTAGGGTGCCTTGGGCTGTTTGAAGCTCACCTGGCAAGCTGGAAGAACCTCTGAGGTGCACACTGGCTGTTGTCTTGACGCGCCGAGGAAGCCGCCCATTTTTTCTGAAATGGGAGAGAGAGTGAATGAAATTGTTCAGCCAAGATGGGGTTTTGCATGGTCAAAGGGATCAGGAGGGGCCTATGCAACAGCCCATGACTGCCTGGGGGGTCCAGAGAGGGGCCACCCCATTATTGTAGACTTAAGACTTTCAGCAGGTTTAAGGGCTCCTATAGCTGCCCTTAAACCTGCTGAAAGTCTTAAGTCTACACAAGCTCTTTAAAAAAAGACAGAGAGAAAAAGAATTTTGATTTGATTTTTGACCAGTTTCCTAGGGTGCCTTGGGCTGTTTGAAGCTCACCTGGCAAGCTGGAAGAACCTCTGAGGTGCACACTGGCTGTTGTCTTGACGCGTCGAGGAAGCCGCCCATTTTTTCTGAAATGGGAGAGAGAGTGAATGAAATTGTTCAGCCAAGATGGGGTTTTGCATGGTCAAAGGGATCAGGAGGGGCCTATGCAACAGCCCATGACTGCCTGGGGGGTCCAGGGAGGGGCCACCCCATCATTGTAGACTTAAGACTTTCAGCAGGTTTAAGGGCTCCTATAGCTGCCCTTAAACCTGCTGAAAGTCTTAAGTCTACACAAGCTCTTTAAAAAAAGACAGAGAGAAAAAGAATTTTGATTTGATTTTTGACCAGTTTCCTAGGGTGCCTTGGGCTGTTTGAAGCTCACCTGGCAAGCTGGAAGAACCTCTGAGGTGTACACTGGCTGTTGTCTTGACGCGTCGAGGAAGCCGCCCATTTTTTCTGAAATGGGAGAGAGAGTGAATGAAATTGTTCAGCCAAGATGGGGTTTTGCATGGTCAAAGGGATCAGGAGGGGCCTATGCAACAGCCCATGACTGCCTGGGGGGTCCAGGGAGGGGCCACCCCATCATTGTAGACTTAAGACTTTCAGCAGGTTTAAGGGCTCCTATAGCTGCCCTTAAACCTGCTGAAAGTCTTAAGTATACACAAGCTCTTTAAAAAAAGACAGAGAGAAAAAGAATTTTGATTTGATTTTTGACCAGTTTCCTAGGGTGCCTTGGGCTGTTTGAAGCTCACCTGGCAAGCTGGAAGAACCTCTGAGGTGCACACTGGCTGTTGTCTTGACGCGTCGAGGAAGCCGCCCATTTTTTCTGAAATGGGAGAGAGAGTGAATGAAATTGTTCAGCCAAGATGGGGTTTTGCATGGTCAAAGGGATCAGGAGGGGCCTATGCAACAGCCCATGACTGCCTGGGGGGTCCAGGGAGGGGCCACCCCATCATTGTAGACTTAAGACTTTCAGCAGGTTTAAGGGCTCCTAAAGCTGCCCTTAAACCTGCTGAAAGTCTTAAGTCTACACAAGCTCTTTAAAAAAAGACAGAGAGAAAAAGAATTTTGATTTGATTTTTGACCAGTTTCCTAGGGTGCCTTGGGCTGTTTGAAGCTCACCTGGCAAGCTGGAAGAACCTCTGAGGTGCACACTGGCTGTTGTCTTGACGCGCCGAGGAAGCCGCCCATTTTTTCTGAAATGGGAGAGAGAGTGAATGAAATTGTTCAGCCAAGATGGGGTTTTGCATGGTCAAAGGGATCAGGAGGGGCCTATGCAACAGCCCATGACTGCCTGGGGGGTCCAGGGAGGGGCCACCCCATCATTGTAGACTTAAGACTTTCAGCAGGTTTAAGGGCTCCTATAGCTGCCCTTAAACCTGCTGAAAGTCTTAAGTCTACACAAGCTCTTTAAAAAAAGACAGAGAGAAAAAGAATTTTGATTTGATTTTTGACCAGTTTCCTAGGGTGCCTTGGGCTGTTTGAAGCTCACCTGGCAAGCTGGAAGAACCTCTGAGGTGCACACTGGCTGTTGTCTTGACGCGCCGAGGAAGCCGCCCATTTTTTCTGAAATGGGAGAGAGAGTGAATGAAATTGTTCAGCCAAGATGGGGTTTTGCATGGTCAAAGGGATCAGGAGGGGCCTATGCAACAGCCCATGACTGCCTGGGGGGGTCCAGGGAGGGGCCACCCCATCATTGTAGACTTTAGACCTTCTGTAGCTTCAAGGGTTTCTGTTGATACGCCAAGGAAGCCACCATTTTTTCTCTGAAATGGGAGAGAGAGTGAATGTCATAATAACAATTTACATGAAAAAATTGCACCTTTACAAAAATAGTAGTCTTGACTGGGACTAAACTTATGTCAAAGCATTTCAAGTTACTTGAGACTTCTGCAATGATTAATACCAACAAATCTGTTTTTATTTCTGATGAAACTGTCAGATCATGATCAATGCGGTTATGTCTATTTTACCTGGGTTTTTTTAATTTCATGTTGTTCATACTTTTCGACAGATCTTCCATCTTGAGTAACATTAAACTGCATGTGCTCATATCTAATTAGATCCAATTAGATGCTCATCTATTATTATCTGGAATAAT